TCAGTCAGTACAAACGCACAATCTCGGTCTGTCCAAACTTATGTATATGAAATGACCTTTGTACCAATTCTCAGTACTTATGTTAACTTAAGTTGAGTTACTTTAATAACTAGTGAAAAACAGACAAATGGAGCAGATGGAGCAGGGGCCCAGGCATCAGGACGTCTCACATGAATTCATGAATTACCAAAGGTCACAACATTCAGTCCCAAGCTCCCCAAAATGGCCCAATTTGGGGCACCTGAGTTTCTCTCTCCCAACTAGAGAACTGCAGGGCAGGTGCTCCAGAGCCATGCAGCCTCCACAGCTGCAGGTGGAGTCAGTGGAGCTGCAGGTGCCCAACCTCCCTGAGAACCAGGCCCCAGGTGCCTAAAGGTCGGCACCCAAAATCTAGACCCTAAATGAAAGGCCATTTATTAAAGCTGGACCCAGCCCATCACTGTGCTCTGGTCCCGTAGGGCAGCTAGTCTGGGCACAGAGGCTGCAGGGAAGGAGAAAGCCCCTCCCCCATGGTGAGGGATCCCTCCAGCCCAGGAGCCTCTTGTGCCTCCTCCACAGCAGCTGCAGGCACAAGGCGTGTTCCTGAGAGGGCTGGGAATGGGGTGGGGGGGTGGTGAGGGCGGGTGGAAGAGGGAGGGGGTGGACGACGGACAGAGGGACGTGGGCAGTGTAAAGCTGGGCCTCGGACACTCTGCACGCTGGGCAAGACACATGGGGCCCATTGTCATAGGGATGTAACTCTGGCTGGCTTCAGAACTTCCCTAGCCTGTGCCAAGGTCTGCACCAGCCCCGCAGCCACTGAATAGCAGAGTCACCCTCAATTTCCACATTTATAAAATGGTTTTACTATTATTTCTATTTCTGCCTATGGAGGACGAGGCCCCGTCGTGCTGCTCTCTGTAGAGACGCTGAGTAAACAGACCCAACTGCTCACAATTAGAGCCAGGATTTCACAAACTCTTAACATTCTGTTAGTGTCAAAGGGACCAAAGTGGGTAAAGTTACTTTTATGCCAAAGTCTTTGCAGGCTCTGGGTCTAGGTTACGACAAAAGGCAGCAAATGAATGAGACAAACCAACTGGGGTGTGAAGGGTGGGATGGGATGAGGAGGGGAAAAGTAAATCTCACTTGCAGATTGTCTGTCCTGGAATGGTTGTGAGGCTGCAAGGATGTTGGTCCCATTGCTGGGAGATGCTTGAATCCGAATGAGAGAGAAAAGAGACGGTTTCAGATCTTTTTATATTAAATTTCTTGGTGTGTTTCTCTGTCATAATTAAAAGACAGTTCTCGGAGTTGAGAGTGGGGATGCTGTTATAAATATGAAAGCCTGAAATCTCATCTCCTTTCTCCTTCCCCCCTCCAGACACTCTGCCGTCTGCACTAGAGACAAAAACAGGAGGATCCCTAGGAACATTCAGACAGGGTGAGTTTGCAGCCGGAGTTTGTCTTTAAATTATCAGAAAATTCCTTTGAAAATGTCTTCATGAGATTGTAGCTAAAGTTGCCAGTGAAACCAACACCGACCATGACAGACACAGCCCTAAAACAATACACTGAACAGTGAGGAGCTCCCACGCTGAAGTCACACAAACCCTCCTGACACCAACCTTAGTGCTGAGTTCATGCGCAGGAACTGCACTGACACCTCTGCTCAGTCTCAGGTGCCCAGGACAGAGGCAGCTCCCGAGGATCCAGGCCTGTCCCAGCGAGAACAGGGCTGCTGGGGAATGTGAGAAATGGTCCCAGCCTTCCCCAGGGGTGAGCTCTGCCTCTAACACTCTGATTCTCTCTTCCCCCAGTGAATGTGACTCTGGATCCAGACACGGCCCATCCCGAGCTTGTCCTGTCTGAGGATCAGAAAAGTGTGAGATGGGGAGCCACACGGCAGCGACTGCCCAGCAAACCTGAAAGATTTGACACTGAGCCCTGTGTGCTGGGCTGTGAGGGATTCACCTCGGGGAGACATTGCTGGGAGGTGGAGGTGATGGCTGGGGGATACTGGGCTGTGGGGGTGGCCAGAGAGTCTGTGAGCAGGAAGGGATGGATCAGCCTTAGTCCTGAGGGGGGGATCTGGGCTGTGGAGCGGTGGCGAGGTCAGTTCCGGGCTCTCACCTCCCCTGCGACCCCCCTGCCCCTGAGCCGGGCCCCCAGCAGGATCCGTGTTTGTCTGGACTGTGACCGGGGGCAGGTGACATTTATCGATGCTGGTGACGAGGCCCCGATCTTCACTTTCCCGCCAGGCTCCATCCCTGGGGAGAGAATCCGACCCTGGCTCTGGGTGTGGAGATCCCGGCTCAGCCTGTGTCCCTGAGACACGCAGCAGAGGGGTGAACCAGAAATTGGCCTCTCTAGCCTCATGGTCCCCAGTCTCTATGACCTTGCAGGACTCCCATCTACCCAGCCCCTGACTCTTCATCTCTATGGCTGCTGGAAGCTCCTCCCCCTCCCTCTCTGCAGCCCCAGGGATGGGAGGGGGAAGAACCTCTGGGGCTGCAGAAGGAGCAGAGAGGCCCTGAGGGGCAGATGTGGCGGCTGGGCAGGGGGCCGAATTAACATGGGGCTGGGAAAAGAGCCCGGTGGGATGTGGGGGTGGCAGGGACACAGAATGAATCAATCAGGGTTTGGGGGGTTGGGGAGACGCTGGAAGCACCTCAGCAGCAGGGAGATTTTTGTACCGATCTGTGTCATTAGATCTCGCTGGGATCTTCCAGCCAGAGATCCTGCTGCAGGGGCCCAAGTCACCTTCCCCTGTAGATGCAGGGTTGGCACCACTGTATTTGTAACACCCATGGAGGATGGGCAGGGAGAGTTAAAAAAATCACAAGAAAAACCAGGCTACATTATATAATTTTTTTTTTTTTTTGGAAACCTCATGTTTTGGAGAGTCAATTTCAGTTCTGTGTCATGATTTTTAGCTTCTGGGGTTAGCAACACTGTGAGAGTCAGGGGGGGCCAAGGGGGAGCTGAGCCAGAAGGAACAGAGAAATCACAAGGAAAAGATAAAGTAAAACAAAATAAACAGAGAGTCCTGGAGAAAGGGTGAAAAATAAATATAAAAACAATGAAAGGAAAACACTTTGGAGAGGGGAAAGGACCAGAGGCAGTGAGAGGGGAAGGGATAAACTCAAGGGAAAGAATGGAGAACATGAGGGGGAATGGTCTGTGACAAGGATCAGAAAAGAATGGAAGAGACACAGAGAAATAAACAGGGATGGGAAATGAGGGCTAGAAAAATGGTTGTAATAATGAACATTGGTGGACCCGCCAAACAGCGCCTCCCTCTCCCTTCCCATGCCTCCTGCCCACCACGATCAGCTGTTTTGCGGTGTGCAGGAGGCTCGGGGGGGGGGAAGGAGGGAGGAGGGAGGGCATGGGAAGGGGTGGGGGCCTTAGGAGAAGGGGTGGAGTGGAGTGGAATGGGGTCAGGGCCTGGGGCACAGCCAGGGTTTAAGCAGTGAGCACCCCTCGGCACATTGGAAAGTTGGTGTCTGTAGTTCCAGCCCCGGAGTCGGCGTCTATGCAAAGATCCGAATATTAACTTCTGAAGAGCTGCATGCACTCCGGAGCCACAGGCTGGCCACCCCTGCTGTACCTAGTTAATTTCAGAATACTCAAGAAGTGAGTATTCACCCATGAAAGCTTCAGAAGTTTGGACTGCACTTTGTCTGAACAGCCCCTCAGAACTGTTCGCCGAGGGTGGCCCTCCTAGGAGAACAAGACGCCGGACACCGTGGCTTGGAGCGTCAGTAGGTTTGGCTGCCCCTGACTCAGAAAGTGGGCATTTGAGAGTCGGGGCTTGTGGCCTCAGCCCCATGGGAGGGGCCTGCCTGGGCTCTGGGCTTCCTCCCTGTGGGGAGGGGATCTTGGGGCTTCAGCCCCACGAAAGGCACCTGTTGTGGCTCAGGGCTTCAGCCCTGTGGGGAGGGGGTCTTAGCGCTTCAGCTCTGTGGGGTGGGGGGGTCTTCAACCCCATGGGAGTCCAAACTTCTGAAGACCCCAATGGCGGAACAGGTGTATTTGAGGATGTGCCAATTTTCTGTAGCTGTAAAGGCAGATGAGGGCTGCTGCAGGATAGAGACCTCTGGTTGTTTCGGACTTCTCTGCTACTGGATCCAGGGCTCCTTCCTGTCAAGTTTCATGAGGTTGCCACCTGCACACTGGCTCCCCCACATTAAAAGATTTCACATGTAGGCTTCTGCCAAGGGTGTTAACATCTTGTCCCCCTGGCAGACATCACCCTTGTATCGAGAGATAGCTGCCACCGCCGCCTTTAGATAAATAATGACAGAGTGATGGGAACACCACCTTCTCCACCTCCGGTGGACAGATGTTTGAATGGGACCCAATCTGGTTGGCAAGCTGGAAGGATCAGGTCCCACTCACAAGATTGGCAGCTGACTGATTTTCTAGGTGCCTAAGTTGCTTGGTGAATCCTTAACAAGTGTGTTTGGGTCTGCAGAGCTACATCTGGCTGCCCCAGGGCTATTCACCATAACCACTTCCTGGTCTTTCAAAGGCCCTTCCTACACGACACGGTTTTGTCGACATAAGGCAGCTGACATCAACCTTACTATGCAGGTGTACATGCTGCAATGCTCCTCCCACTGCTTCGACTCGCATGTTACGCCGGCATAATAACCCCCCCTGGAGGAGAGGCGTGGAGCTTAGGGCGACGTAGTTAGAGTGACACAATGTCAGTGTGAACACTGCATTGCTTGCATTGCCCTAAGTGGCCTCCACGAGGTGTCAATCCCAGAATGCCCCACTGTGACCGCCCTGGTCACCATTTCGAACCCTGCTCCCTGGCAGCCAGGTACACAGGTGAATGCCCCTCCCCTGTTAAAGCCCCAGGAAGGTTTGAACTTGCTCTTCCTGTGTGCTCAGTGTGGAGAGCTCACAAAGCAACTGCCCAGCTGAGCAGGCCGGCTCCACGCAGCAAATGGCTCCTGCCTGGAGTCCACGGGAGGTGGTGGATCTCCTGGGTCTGTGGGGAGAGGAGTCTGTGCAGGCCCAGCTCCAATTCAGCTGCAGGAACTTGTTGAGGCATGGAGGGGAAGGGCTGTGATATGGACACACGACAGTGCCGTGTAAAACCCAAAGAGCTGTGGCAGGCATAGCAGGAGGCAAATAGCTGCCCCTGGTGCAGAACCACAGACCTGCTGCTTCTACAAGGAGGGGGTTGGGGTCAGAGTGATGATGAATAGTCTCCACATTGAGCTCCTCTTACAGCCTTGTGCACATAACACACAGCACAATACTGAAGAGCAGTGCAGGATTCAGGCTTTCTGACCCACATGACTGGCTCACAGGTTACCAGGGTAGCTGAAACACGACTGGAAACCTAGTAGGATGCCCATGGAATGATGGGGATGAGAAACCTGCATCATGTGATGCTGTACCTGCCCCATGAGGCATTGCAAACCCTTCCCAACGTACCCTGCGACCAGTTGCACAGTGGGATAGCTACCCACAGTGCACTGCTCTCAGTGCCATTGCAAGAGCTGCTACTGTGGATGCGCTCCGCTGACACAGGAAGCATGGTGTGGACATGCAACAGCGGTTTAAGTACAATGGTGGCTGTACATCGATGTAACTTAAATCAGCGTTGAACTTTGTAGTGCCAACATAGCCTAAGTAAGGCCTTGGCTACAATCGAAACTTCAAAGCGCTGCTGCGGGAGCGCTCCCGCGGCAGCGCTTTGAAGTGCGAGTGTGGTCGCGGCGCCAGCGCTGGGAGAGAGCTTTACCAGCACTGCAGGTACTCCACCTCCCTGAGGGGTTTAGCTTACAGTGCTGGAAGCACGGCTCCCAGCGCTGGGGCACTGTTTACACTAGCACTTTACAGAGCTGTAACTCGCTGCGCTCAGGGGGATGTTTTTTCACACCACTGAGTGAGAAAGTTGCAGAGCTGTAAAGCACCAGTGTAGCCAAGCCCTAAGCCGGCTCTACAGATGGATAAACTGTCAAGCTGCTGCTGAAAAAAAAAAGTCCTGATATTGGAGAGTTCTATCTGAGATCATGAGTGAGGCTCAATTTTACTTAGAAATTGCTGTCAAACCCCCCCATTTTGTCAACCCCCCCATTTTGACTACAAAATGAAATAGTCCCCCGTGCGATATTTCTGTAATTTAAAAAATGCCGTTAGTGGAAGAGCTTACACCAGGGCAATGTGTCATGGCAGAGAACAACTGGAATTTTACAGAATGCATCTCAATCAAATTGAAGTGATAAAACTGGAACAAAATTCCAAAGGCCAAAATATTCCATGTAGCCCCTGCATTAGGGCCATGGCAGGGCCCCTCTGTGCCAGTCAAAGAAGCTGAGTCTGAGTTGTACGTGGGAATACATAAGCTACACTCTGCTCTTCTTGAAGATCCTGGTTCATTGCATGGGCTGATCTGGAGCATGAGAGGAGGAAGACCAGGAAAGACCCTGCCCCTCCCTGCAACCTTTTGGGCAAGGTGCCACCCTGGGATGCCAAGGGAGGGAGTGTGATTGTGACTGGCCTTTGCGGAGGGTGAGGAAAAGGAAGAGGAGGCTTGCAGCACCCTCTCTGCATATCAACACAAATGCCAGTTACCACCAGGCCTCCAGATGTGCAGAAGTGAGTGACCCAAATCACACAAGCCCATTATCTGAACCGACGTTCAAACAAGATGGCCTGGGAAGTCAATAGAACACTCGCAGGTCGCAACATTTTCTAAGCCTGCCAACTGTGATATAGTAGTGAGACACAGCCTGCCCTTTTCCTCCAGAAACACTTTCCTTCACCACCTTCTGGTCCCTCCCAGCTCTACGCACTGTAGGGATGGACTCTCAGAGATAATTCTCCCACTGTGCCATTCTGGGAGAGAGCTCTTTGCGGGTATGTCTGCACAGTGGCTGGGAGGTACAGTTCCCAGCTTGGATGTTCATACCTGTGCTAGCTCCCTCTTTTTCCTTCCCCTCCTCCTCTGCAGTGACAAAATATACAGTGATAAGCCCCCTGTCAAGCCTCACATGTGGCTGGGACTCCCCCTGTCATCCCTCAGTGGCTGCTCCCCTGACAGCCTGGGAACTGAGAGGGGGACTCCACTGCAGCCCCCACCCCAAGCCTGGGGAGGGTGAGGAACCGTAAGAGGAGCAGAGGTGATGCTGAGAGGGCTGAACAGCAGCCAGGGGGCTGCCAGGGGGCTGAAGTGAGGAGGGTGGAGGCTGATGGGTCGGTGGCTGCATTAATGGTGGGTTCTGAGCAGATGGGCCAGTGCTGGGAGGGTGAACTGAGGACGGTGGGGGCGATGGAATGGGGGAGGCTGAACTGATGGGGTTGTGA